AAAAAAAAAAATAGAAAAATGTAGAAGGTCAAGATAAACCCTAATTATTAACAAAGTTCTAATATTTATTCCCACATCCCAGTGGATGGCCCCGTGCCCCTACTGAGGATGTGTGATCCACACCCCCATGTGGAGGAGGGCAGAGAAAGGTTTCTATACAACAGAAACTGTCTGCTGACTGTGGACACTGTCATGGATTAATTTCCCCAGCCATGGCCTGGTGTGATCACTCTGATAGATTGTGGGTCCAAGGTCACAGGCTTGATCTGCCTTTGGGTCAATTGGCTCTGGAAGAAAAACTCCATTTTCATCACGACAGACTGCCCTCTGGTCTGTTATCTCTAAATAATTCCTGGGTCATGAGGCGGACAGACAGAGCACAGATGGAAAAATGCTTCAGGCCCTGACTATTGACAAGGAGTCGATTGTGCCCACTTTGTATACAAAGCCCAGTGGGCGTGGGTGGCAGGAGTAGGAGGCACAGGGCAGTCCCCCTCACTCCCAGCCTGGATAAACCACCCTGATGGGGGGGGTGTGCTGGAGGGAGACTCAGCAGAGCACAGGGGGACCAAGCCCACCCGTCCTGACCCACCCGTCCTGCCCTTCCCTACTGTTGGGTGTTCATCAAACTCAAAGCCGCCCCCACTCTCTCTTCTTGCCTAGGCTTTGAATTCTACCACTCTAGACAAGTTTCTAGCATGGAATCCCACCTCTAGACAAGTTTCTCCAGACAAGGAGGCAGTTGCCCACTGTCTAACTTGGGCTGCTAGCACAGAATACCATACATCAGGTAATTTAAACAACAGACATTTATTTCTCACAGTTCTGGGAAGTCCAAGATCAAGGTGCTGGCAGATTTGCTTCCTGGCGAGGACTCTTCTTGGTTTGCAGACAGCAGCCTTCTCACTGTGTCCTCAATGATAGAGAGAGAAAGAGATCGAGCTCTGGTCTCTTCCTCTGCTCATATGAACACTAATCCCATCATGAGGGCCCCACCCTCATGACCTAATCACCTCCCAGAGGCCCCCCCCAATACTATCCCATTGAAGGTTAGCACTTCAATATATAAATTTTGGGGGAGACAGATATTCAGTCCAAAGCATGCACTTCACAACAGGTGTCTTCTTGGCCATTTCTACTTGAAACAGCTTCCATACAAGGATACTTCAAAAAGTTAACAGAAAGGGCCGAGCGCCGCGGGTTCGGATCCTATATAGGGATGACTGGTGCGCTCACAGTGCTCACTGGCTGAGCGCGGTGTGGCCGGTCTCAAAAAGGACAAAAAAAAAAAAAAGTTCACAGAAAGATTCTTATCTCCTAATTCTATTTTTCCAAAAATGTTTTGAAGTACCCTTTTAGAGCTGAGACCAAACTCTGATTTCCCCCACATCAGTGCCCCTCAGTCTTCCCCTCTCAGAAATGTCTCCACCACCCAGATGCTTGCACCAAAGCTAGGCGTGACCTTGACTCTTCAAATGTGCTTGTCCCTGCTCTTCACATCGCTGGTTCCTCCTCATCCTTTGGGGCTGGTTTAAATGCCACATCCTCAGGAAATCGCCATCCCCATCGCCTTTTCTAAGTGAGACCCTAGGTTATTCTCCACTCTGGCACCCAGCCGTGGGTCCCCTCCGACACCCCTAACCCCTCGGACAGCACGCACACTTATCGTCCTGTTTGCTGGCTGTCTGGCGTGTCCCCACCCTCTCACCAAGCCCTGAGACCAGGGCCCATGCACAAGACTCCACCAGGCTTGGTGGGCACTATGCCAGGGTCCTACATGGTTTTAGAGGCCCACAAAAATGTTTTAGTTTCTTTTGAGATCAGAAGAAAATATGTGAACCTGTAGTTGGAAGAAAAGGTCTTAATATGTACTATGAATACATTCAACTTTATACCAACGGAGTAGTAAATATAATTTTAACAACTTTTATGGAGGAAGGGGTCCACAAAAGTCATAGCACCACGCTGGGACCAGGTCTGTCTTGTTTTCTGTTATTCCCCGCTCCCCCCAGCACCTCTTGGGTTGCTTGGCACATAGTAGATACTCAACCAACATCTGATGAATAAATGAATCTGTAAAATGGATATTTCTTTTTTTTTTTTT